TGCACGCACCCACGGCCGGGGGTCGGGTCCCACATGGACCCAGACTCGGGGACTGCGGTCCCACACGGCCCTCCCGTGTGTGGGTGGGGGTCTTGTATAGACCCACGCACATGTCTGGGGTCCTACACAGCACCCTGCAGCCCCCTGCACCTCTATGGGGGTCCTGTATAGTCCCACACACACGGGCTGGGGTCCCACACGCAGTGCCCTGATCCCCCAGCACACAGCCCCAGCCCCTGGCAGAGCGGGGGGGGAGTACGGGGGAAACTGAGGCACAGCTGGACTCACGGGACACCCCAAACCCTGACGGGGTGAGCACCCCAAAGGCCGCTGGGGTGCACAGCTGGGGGCTGCCCTTCTATCAGCCCCCAGACCCCCTGCAGCACCCAGTGCCCGCACCCCCTGTGACCCCTGCGTCCCCTGTGTCCCCTGCCGCCCCCCCCTTCCCCCCCCGGGGCAGCCCCGGAGGGACCCGGGGGGCTCCGGACCCCCCTCCTGAAATCCCCTCACCCCTGACCCCCGCCCGCCCCAGCCCAGAGTCTCTGAGGAGGGGTGCCATGGCCCGGCACCCCCAAAACCGCTGTTCCAGCCGCCCCCTGGGGACCCTCCCAGCCTGGGGGGCCGAGGGGCTGCTGCTGTCCCCCGCCACCCCGGCCCAGCGACCTCACTCGGGGGCTCCGGGGCAAGGTCGGGGCATGGGCGGCTTTGGGGGGAACCAGCCCCCCCCGATCTCACCAGGGTGATGCAGGAGCTCGCTCCCGGCCGGGGGTGGCGGGAGCCGGGCTGGGGTCCCGGACACCTCGCGGGGGCCACGGGATCCCCGCTGGGGCCACGCGGGATCCCCGGCGGGGCGCGGGAGCCGCGGCGGGGCCACGGGATGGACGGCAAGCCTCTGACTCGGCCGTCTCCTTCCTGCCCCGCCTGGCCCCGGCCCGGCGGCCCCCGGCCCCCCACCAGCCCGCCGGCGGCTCTTGCATCAGCCCGGTGCGCCGGGCTGTGCCCCACTGATAACGCCCGGCACCGGGCGTCGGCCCCTGCCCCGCTCCACCCGCTGCTCCCCGCTCTGCCCCGCAGCGCCCCGGGCCGGGCTGCGGGGCCGGGACCCGCGGGGAGCCGCGGCACCGGGCAGCGAGGTCACCGGGACCCCCCGAACGCATCCCTGCGCCAGCCGCGCTGTGCGGGGCCCGCAGAGCCCCGCACGGAGCCCAGGCTGCAGCCCCGGGCACGGCAGGATGGAGCCCGGCCCGCCCCGCGAACCCCCGGGCGCTGCGGGGCTCCTGTCCCGCATCGTGTGCGTGGGATGAGCCCACGGCCCCCACACCGCACAGCCAGCGCGGGCCCGTGGGGTCCACACACCCCCCAGCAGCCGGGGCACGGCTGGGGTCCCCCCCAGTGGGTGCAGCCCCGTGGGGTCCCCCTCAATGGGTACAAGCCCCGTGGGGTCCCCCTCAATGGGTACAAGCCCGTGGGGTCCCCCTCGGTGGGTACAAGCCCCTGGGGTCCACACATCTCCTGCCCAGCTCAGGACTGGGCTCGCCCCCCCCGCCCCAAATTCCCGGCACGGCTCAGCACGGAGCCCGCGCTCCCCGCGCCGTCCCCGCACGGCCACCGGGATCCTCCCTGCGGCCACCAGGGCTCTGTGGAGCCCTCACGTCCCACAGCGCCCATGAGGGATCCCTCCTGCCTCCTCCCTCGGCTCCGTCTGGAGCCAGCACGTCCCAAAGCATCCCCGCAGCGTGGGGCTGCTCCTTCCCTCCGTGGGTACAACCCCGCCGCTCCCTATGGACTCCATACATCCCACGCCATCCGTGCAGCAGGGCTGGGATCCTTCACTCAGCAGGTGCCCAGCACGGCTCAGCATGGAGCCCACATGTCCCAGGCCATCCACACCCCACGGCTGGGACATCTCTGGTGCTCCCTATGGAGCCCATACATCCCACACCACCCACACCTCACAGCTGGGACATCTCTGGTGCTCTCTATGGAGCCCATACATCCCAAAAACCCACAGCTGGGACATCTCTGGTGCTCCCTGTGGAGCCCATACATCCCACACCCCACAGCTGGGACATCTCTGGTGCTCCCTGTGGAGCCCATACATCCCACACCCCACAGCTGGGACATCTCTGGTGCTCTCTATGGAGCCCATACATCCCAAAAACCCACAGCTGGGACATCTCTGGTGCTCCCTATGGAGCCCACACATCCCACACCACCTACACCCCACGACTGGCCCCCCTCCCACCCCGTGTGCTCCCCTGGCTCCCTATGGAGCCCCTGTCCCCCATCCCACAGCACCTCCCACCCCAACACCCCCCTGACAGTTCCGGGGGCAGCCCAGGGTGCCCTCCCAGCCCCGCCATCCCCTCTCCCACCCTGTCTTCCCCAGGGACACCCCGAGGTGACCCCGCACCTACCCCTGGGGTGCCTCCGACGCCCCTGGCGCTCTCTCTGTGGCTGCCCGGGGTGTGAGACGCCGATGCCTGAGTCACGCTCACCTCCCTAATCTTGCCCCCCTCGGGCTCACCCGGCCCCCCCCCCCCCCCCGCCCCCCCACAACAAGGCCCCCCGTAAAAACAAGGTTATCGGGGTGCAACATCTGCAAAAGCTGCGCCCCGGCGAAGCCCCGCCTGCGCCCCGCTCTGCTGCCGTCGCTCAGCCAGCCCAGTGCCCCGGGACCCGCTCCCGCTGCCCCCCCTCGTCCCCCCAATCTTGTTTACCTCGGGTTTCCCTGCAGGGAATCCCCGGGATCCCCCCGGTTGTCCCCCCCCCCCTCCTTTCCACGGGGTTGGGGTGTTCTCTTTCAAAAAAAAAAATTGAAAAAAAAAAGGGGGTTCCTGGGGAGTTCCCTGGGGAGGAGGCGCGGGGGGGACGCGGGGCCGGGGTGTCCCTCTGTGCCAGGGATCGCTGTCACTGGGGTGCCCTGGACAGGGCTGGCATGCTTGGCAGGAGGGCAGGGGTGCGTGCCCTGCCTTGGTGCCCACCCGTGGGCACACCTGTGTGTGTGTGAGGGGCACACGGCCCCTGCGTGTGTGCGCACCTGTGCTCACACCTGTGGACGTGTGCGCACACACACGTGCGTGTGTCTCTACATTTATATCCCCAAAAAGGATCTCGGCCCCAAAATCCCAATCCCAGGGCAAGGGTGAGGTGGGTGAGCCTTGCACACACACACACACACACACACACGCCTGTGCACACACACACACACACACACCTGTGCACACACACACACCTGTGCACACACACACCTGTGCACACACACCATCCCATCCCAGCCTCGGTACCTGGGGATTCCCACAGGGTCCCCCAGCAGTGAGGTGGCACCGGAGCTGTCCCCACTGTGCCACAGCAGCCTGGAGGCCCATCCAGGCTGGGGACACGTTGGGGACCTGGTGGCACCCTCGGAGGGGTGGTGATGGCTCTGGGTGTCCCGATAACGGCCCCGGCCTTATCTGGGCGCTGCCAAGGGCTCCCCTCCCTGCACGGCCATGGGGATTTTGGGGGTCCCTCCCCACGCTGTGCCCACCTGCCCCCCAGCTGGGCTCTCTTGGCTGAGCCCCCGTGGCAGGGGCAGAGCGGGCGTGTGGCACCCCGGTGGGCACAGGGAGGTGGCACATGTCCCCACGGGGGGGGGTCTGTGTGCTGAGGGTGGCTCTGATTTATTTGGGGGCTCTGCAGGTTTGCGTGGCTGCTGTGGGATTCGCCAGCCCCTCCTCGATTTCTCTGTCACAACAACGGGGAAACTGAGGCACAGTGAAGAACGGGGGTGGGGGGATTGCCCCTCGGCACAGTCAGCCCCCGCCCACCCCCCAAGGGGGTCCCTCGCCCCCCGCAGACCCCGCGGGGGGGTGATGCTCAGCCCCCCAAAACGAGGATCGAGTCAGGGCGAGGCAGGGGGTGACGATCTGAGCCTGGGGAGGTCCAAAGAGCCCCCCAAAACCCCGGGGGGGTACCCACGGCGTCCCCCCCGAGCAGCGACACGTCACGTCGGGAGGGACAGCTGGGGACCCCCCGCGGGACTCCGGCCCTCCCCGCTCTGTTGTGCCCCCCCCCATCCCCCGGAGAGCGATTTGGGGGGCCGGGGGCGGGGAGAGCATCCCTTTGG